TAATCTTATTTTAAAATACAGAGATTCGAATCCTTCGTGTCCTTCAAGCCAGTGTGAAATACAGAGCTGACAATGTAAACACAAGATGTTTTGAAGACTAGCCCTACAAAGGGGCCGTGAGGTTTTTTTACAGGAGACAGCGCCACATACTGGTTTTGTGAAGTGAGAACTACTGTGCCTTTAACTGAATTATTACTGCTTAATGGGTTGCTTTTAATCGATTTTAAATTAAGCTGACTACACCTTAAGTAATTGTTGCTTATTCTAAGGAAATCACCAACACTAGGTTCTGATTTCATGTGAATGAATAAAGGGAATAATGACTAATGATAATGAAGCATTTGTTGTTTTAATATAAACCAGCACATTTCAATTCATGAGTGTATTTTATTATATTAAATGGCCCTAGTGTGCCAGTCTTTACTCAGTTATTGTTGACTTTACTGTTATATAAACAAATAATTATAATTCCAGTTACAACACTCGAGCAATGCAATTATTTAAAGAAGCACAATAAGTGCATTTTCAAGTGCTTTTCCCCAATTAAAAAAAAAAAAAAAGCTAAATAGAAAATAGTTACCTTGAAAACAAGTTGCTTGCCACAATCTCTGTTTAAGTCTTAAGGGCGTTTTATTAGACATGTTTGCAGTAATACAACTTGTGTATGAATTTTCTTAAGATCAGTAGTCTATTTGTTTTCTTAATAAATTCATGGCTGCAGGTTGAAAAGACTATAGCATGTCCCACCCACCCTGTGTGTTTGTTTTGCTGCTATTCAGGACATACATGAGAAAGGTCATATACAAGATATATACAATTATTTAGAGGTAAAAACATTTTTGAATCTATCTTACTGTTATTTATAGACTTGTAAAGTTATAGGAGATGCAGTTTTATCCTTCACCTTGACTGTGATTTCCTACTAGCAGCAGTGCAGCAAAGAAACTGCAGCAACAAGAAATCTACTAGATATTGGCCTTTATTTTGTTCTCTGAGCTTTGGAGCCAGCTTATGTCCTCTGAGGTTCATCACTCCTCAAGGGAAGGTCGAAAAATTTACTGTGGAAAATAAAGTCATTCTGAAAAATACCTCCATGAAATGGTTTCTTTCCTCAAGGAAAACATTAGAAGCTAGAACATAAATGGAAAGCAGAAAGAGTTTATTCCAGAAATTATGCTTTGTGTGGACAAACCGTTATGATTGTGACTAGGGGGATGACAGGTTTTGAACATTTCTTCAGGTACCAAATGCTAACACAGTTGCTGTACTATGGGCAGTATCATAACTCTTCTTTTACTTCAGCTCCTAAGTGTAGCCAGTAGGATTCCTGCCACATGGGATCCCTGAAGATATGGATGCTAAAACTCTTTGTGAGGAGTAGGATTTTGCACAGTCTTGTCTCAGGCCTGTAAGTAAACTCCAGAAATTTGTCTGTATATTTCATAAAGTTGATTTTTTTTTATTCATAGATACGGAACTGCAGTCCACATGCTGTCCTTCAAACTAATCCCTACCAGGAGTCAGGGATGCAATAGTTAGCAAGAATATTAATGCTGCCATTAGCATTCACAGTGGAAGACAAGACAAAATGCAGTTTCACTGTTCCAAAAATATCATCACTTGAGTCTAAGGAAAGAGACAAAGAATGACTATGCAAAGATTGCTGGGGAAATGCAGGAAAACAATTAGACAATTTAAAACTATGTAGTGGGCCTCATCACAGAAAGCATGAGCAGTGAGTTCGTGAAGAGTCATGAGGAGTGAGTTTGAGGCAAAATGATGGGATAACTTTAAACACATATGTTGTGCAATCCTGCCAAAAAATAGCAGAAAGCATGCAGGTGCCTATATAAAAAGAGATTGACAATATATGGTGATATCATCGGTTGAGTGTAAGAAGAATTATTTTTTTCAATATTGAGCAATAGCAATAGTGTTTTAATGCAGTGCAGGAAAAAAAAAAAAAGAAGAAGAAATACCATGAGAGAGGCAATGACTAACTCCAAAGACTTACAGTATTTAGCATGGACAAATGTTAAGAGTCGAGCTATGTGAATGGATAGATATGTCAAAGAAGGCAATGTGGACAAAGTTTGATTTTCAAGATGTGGAAACTGAAGCTTCAAAATCAAAGGTGATACTAGAATGATAGGATAGTCGTGAATGAGGTTTAGTCCATAATGCTAAAGGAAGGAGGCAATATAGAGACAAATTATGAACATGTTGAACCTGCAACACCAATAAAGAAAAGTAAGAAGCAAACAATGCTTTTAACTGTATGAACATACTTGTATCCTCCCAGGAACTTTCATCTTCTTCAGGGTCAAATATAATAGGGGAAAGCCAAGGCCTCACTCGCTCCAAATCTGTGTCTTCGACTTGTTTGTAAAAATAAGTTTTCCAGTGAAAATATATCTTCCTGACATGAACTTGTCAGTCTAGTCATTTAGTTTGATTTCCTGTATCAAACAGACCATAATTCTTTGCTTGTAGTTTGTCCACCCAGTATTTATCTTCTGGTTGAAGTAAAGCTTGTCTTCAGACACACTTCCATTTTTCACATCAGGACAGAAAATAATGTAGAAATCAACATATCTTTTGGGAAATTTCTTAGTGGTTGTCTTACTTTAAAATATACATCTTATTTTTTTTAGCCTAAATGCAATTTTTATTAATGTTTAGAAATCTGAACTTTTTTCCCTCTTTTTAGATAGATGAAGAATGTCTTTCATGTTGAGGTGTATCTGAAGGTAGATTGAGATCTATCTGAAAATAAATTGGAGATAGAATGGAAGGTTATTTGTAGACTACAATTAACTCTGTTATAAATTAACTAGATTGAGTTTTCTTTAAGATTTTTGTTGTATTGCAAGTTTTGTAAACCTAAGACAATTTCTGAACTTTCTATTTGTGTGTGTATGTGTGTTTGAGTTTTTGTTTGTTGGTTTGTTTTGGGTTTTTTTTTTCAACTTTTCCAACATTGAGGTGTATTCCTTAGAATTGGATATGGTATGCTAGTAATGGTGTCAATAATATCATATATAGAGATAATATCATCTCTAAACTCTTTAGCTGTCTTCACCTTATACAGTTAGAGCTACATTAGTGTTACCCAGTGTATTACACTGTGAGCTCATATTCAGTCGGTTACCCACCAGACCCCAGAGGCTTTCACAGAGATGAGCTTTCCAAGAAACATTTTTGTGTCCTGTCAGTGTGACCTACTTTCTCTGTTTCTAGATACACAGCCTTGCATATGGCAGCATTAAAATGCATGATGTTTAAAAATGAATTCAGGTTACTGAGTGATTTAGAATGTTCTATATATTATTTACCACTTGAGCCAATAATTGCGGCATATGCAAGCTTCATCGGAAATGATTTTATTATTTATTTACAGATTACAAACACATAAACTGAGTAGAACATAGTTAAAGAAAGACAGCACTAATACTAATTTGTGTGCTGATTTCCCATTCACGTATACTTTTGGAGATATCAAAGCTATCATGATTTTTTAGATAATACAAATATGTTTTACATTAGTTGTTGCTAAATGTGAAATTTTAGTTAGAAAGTCACATACTAATGAGCCAAGTGCCACTTTGTTGACAGTGGTATTTGCCAAGCAGATTTGTAATCCAACTCAAAAAAAAAAATCAACTTGCTTTGTGTGTGTAGATGAAAACTATTTTCATGTATTTATATCCATTAATTTAATTTGCTGCCCTTCTTAAATTGCTTTCTGAATGTCCCTGTGCCAGATTTCCCAGATGTTTATCTGGCTTTCAGAACAGGCTGTAATTGCAATAGTTTTTGCCATTGTTCCATTTGCCAAGGAGAGATGAACCAATCACTTGGGCTAGGCTGTGTTAAGAGTCTACTGATGTGTGCAGTGTCTGAAAAGCACCTGTGACGCACTCAGAATAATTCTATTGAATTAACCTCAATCTTAAATCACTATCTCAGCTGTTAACACAATGTAGATTATTTCTTCTCAAACTACATCATCTGGCATCCTTTTAACATTTATCTACAACATAGCTAAAAAAAATTCAGAACATTTAGGATGACCTATAACATTATGAAATGATCATTTATAAACATACCTGGGTAATAAGTATGTAGTCTTAGTATTCCTTCCAATGTCTACAACAACACTTCAGTACAAAAAGTAGCTAAAGGTAAGGAATTGTGTAGAGAAACATTCTCTGTTCCCTCGAATTAAGCTAAAACACTTTGATGTGCTCTTGTGAGGCTGTTGTTTGTGCAGCATGTCCTTCAACCTAAAATAACACCGAAAGTGATAGGATGAAAAATGACAACAATTAAGAAGAAGCTGAACCTGCAAATTTGTTTTCATGGATTTTCCTGCTCTATGTTATAAAATGTTAATATTTAATTTACCAAACAATTCAGGCTTCCTTTGTTCACAGTTCTCTCTTCAAATAATTAATTTTGGGATGAATAGAATGAAAATGCATAGCACTATATTTGCTTTTATTTATTCTTTACTAAGTAAGTCTTTTATTAATTCTACTAAAAATAGATAAGTATAAAACTGTACATTTGCACTCACTGACACGCGTATATATGGAAACATGAGAATAGTGAATGACCTTAGGTAAGGTACTTTGTTTATTTCTATTCATTTGGCAATAAATTTCTGTGATGCTGTTTCCTTGTGTCACTCAGAAGACTGGAGAGGCTGGTGACAGTTGCAGCACAACATGCAATACCAAACTTTAGGTGCATATGACCAATAGGACAACACAAATGTGTGAATCAGTGTTAATATTGGCCTTCCTGTGTCAGCAAATATGGTGTCTTTGTAATCAGATGCTTTATGTGGTAAAGCCATGCCAGTCTATCAGTCCTCAGCCTACACTGCTGCCTGAGGTTCTGCTTTCTCAGGTGAAGAACTTGGCATTTGTCCTTGCTGAACTTCATGAGGTTCCTGTTAGCCAGCCTGTTTGGCTCCCTCTGGATGACAATGTTACCTTCCAGCATATTGACTGTTTTTTCCAATTTGATGTTATCTGCAGCATGATGAGAGCGCATCACCTCCTCTAGGGCACGGATAAAAATATTAACCAGGATATTTCCCAGTGCATACCGGGACCGTATCCACTTGTCACAGGCATCCATGTAGAGAACAAACCTCTGAGCTTGTCCCTCCAACCATTTTTTTACCATTCCAGATCATCATGACCAAATTTGGATGAAAGAGTTAATCACAGATTAGCTAGGCAAGCAAAATGAATCACTCCAAAGCACTCAAATGCTGCAGTTCATGTGTTGCTTGGTAAAGCAGGATGCAAAATGCAAAATGAAAAAAAAAATCTAAATTTTAAAATTAAGCAAAATGGATATATTTTCTATTTATTAGAGATGTTGAGTCTCTATTTCATTTCAGTTCCCCTAAGCCAAGGATCCCTGACAAAAGAACAACTGATTTCAACCTGCTTTTTAGAATAATAGTAAACCCCTTAATGAACTTAGTTTTTGAGACCTCCTTAATCTATTGTTTAATCATGGAGTCTTTCCTCCTTTTTTATTGTCATCATCACAAGGGCAAGATTATTCACACTCATATAATACAATTTCATGACTTTGAGAAAGCAAGGTCATTTCCTAGGGACAAATGGCTCTACAGTAAAGTACTGCATAACAGTTTGGAAGACATGTACTAGCCTACTGAAGATTCTTTTCTCAGAATTCTTACTCGAAATAACTTTTTCAATTAGTTATTTCAGTATAAAGCTAGTAAGTGTGAAAACAAGGGATAGGATTAGATTACAGAAGGGACTGTTTCTTCCTTCAGATGAATGAGATTGGAGTAATATATTCCTTACATATGTAACCATACCACTGTATGTCCTCTAAACCCTCTATGGCCAAAATCCTCTCTGAAAACTTCTTGAACATGAACAGATGAAAAAAATGAAAAAATATAAAAAATGAAAAAAAAAAGATAACTAAAAATGATTTTGTATGCTTTATTAATATACATTTATGGATATGATAAATTGATAAAAATAATAAATAATAATAAACTAATTAAATACTTCCAGTGTGGTGTCGCTGCTTTGCCACATCACTTTGCCTTATCGCTTCTAGATGAACCGATGAGGATTCGATATGGATTCTGGCCTGATGTGATAAGATATACATTATTACGCCTTCATCTGAAAAGTGAGATCGAAGTCTCTTGGAATACAGTATTTCTGCTGCTCATGCTGTATTTGTTTTCAAAGATTTGAGTGAAGGATTCATCTTTTTTGAAACTGGAATAAATATATTTGCAAGAGAAGAAGACAACTGTCTTCGTCTTTCTGTGCACAGTCTAAGGCAGAAGTCCTCTGGAGAAAACAAATGGCATGTGATCTCATAACTGTGTACTTTAACATGGTGCACACAAAATACAGGTACAATTAACTGCTAGGAACTGTCATTCCTGTTGAGTACTTGAACTTGTGATTTTAATGCCATTATTTTTAGGTAGGGCTTTAGGACATATTATATGCTAATATTCAAAATTACTGTTCTCAGTAGTTGTCCTGTACCTTCAATAACTCCTTTATAATAGATATTAGAAAGCGTAGCTGTAACATTAAGTATGTGATTCCCGTGAGTCATGTTATAAGAGCCTTCTGTAGAAAATAATCCTGAATCTAATGATCCCAAACTAATCCATTTTAAATGAAACAGTGGGATAAACAAAAGTATGTCTGTAAGTAAAGATTTTGTTTTTGAAAGGGCAAGCTTTGAGAAATTATGAGGACCAATTACAGGTAATCACTGGGCCGAGAGTTTAAGGACTCAATTTTAAGGCCATGCAAATTAATTCGAAAGAGCAATCTTTATCTGGAATTTGCAGACTTATCAAGCAATAACCTAAGCTTCTCAAGATAAAAACGTATTGAAAATTATGGTAGGTCTAAAAAGAGAAAAGAGAAAATATAGGTGTTTTAACCAGAATAAAAAAAAAAAAAAAGTGAAGGTAGGAATGAAATGCAAGTTGCAGTCAGTGTAGTTCTAAATTAGCATGCAGAATGTGCTGCCATTTTAACTACACCTGAGGATGCCAAACACTGACCTTTGAGTCCCAGCCTTTCTGCAGGTGAGCCAGATGGCCTGTGTGGAGTTACATGTTGCAAGGTCTCCTCTTGGTGTACATCAGGTACCAAACCAAAATGAAAGGCACCTTCCACATGCGGCAGAGGCTTGTGACACTCACAGGGCAAAAACACTTGAAGTCAATTGGATCATATTTGACCAAATAAGAAGAAAAAGTCCCTGAGAAAGAAACTACACATCGCATATTTTGGAGGGCTATGTCTCTCTCTCTCAGACTAGTCAGCTTTATGTTTAACATGGAGGTAGCATGGGATGGGATTAAGAGTTTAGAAATGAAGTTACACATAATAAAGAACAGACTAAAAATTATGCTTATACATTGAATGCATTCTGGAATCCTGACAGAGTTTGAAAAGGTAATCATGAGCAAGTAGCAAATTTTTTTAAAATATGCTCTTGAAAATGGTGTTACATAAGGAGAACAGAGCAACTGGGTAATTTATTGATCCATTGATTTTACTCCAGTAGTATGCAAAATTTCTAACAATCTTTAAAGGAAATGAGTAAATAAAGCTTGAAGGAAAAGGATGAATGGAATGAAATGTAATGAGTGTGTGAAAAATGAACTGGACTGCCCTAATCATTTTCATTTTATTTTGTTTATGTGGGAATACAGTAGAACTCATCAGTCTTCAGCAAAATCCTTTTGTGGTATTATATACGAAGAAATAATTAATACAGTGGACATGGAGGCTACTAGACACATTGTAGAATTAAACCACATAAAAATGAAATGACAAGAGGCTGCAGAGAGCTTATCACTGTGACATTATTATGATAATTAATGATCTGACAACTTAAAATGTGGACACATTTTCAACAGAGACAGCCAACAGAAGTGTCTTTAAGGAGGACTGGAATATTGACAGAGTTGAAATTATGTAACGAAATTCAATAGTTCAAAAACAATGACTATTAAGGAATTCTGTTTTAGGCTGAGCAGGTTAGCTAAAATACTGTGTGGAAAAGAGTTCTGATATATTGTCACTGCTAAGACACCAGTTCAATGCACCTGTGAATAAGTGTAAAAAGATCGAGTAAGATTATTTTCTCTAAAGACATAAGTATTCAGTATTTCAAATGGGGGCTAACCATTAACTCATATATAGTATTGTTAATATTCCTCCTGAATATAAAAGTATTTCTTTGAGTACTTCTTGATCATTCAGGAGAGATAAGCATGAGAAAAATGACAAGGATATTCCTAGAAATTGAGCGTTAATTTCACAAGAAGATATGGAAAAAAAAAAAACTGGTCTTGAAAAATGAAAGCTGAAATGTACATATCACTGCTCTTTAAATGGTATTAGGAGGCTGAAGAGCAGGAGAGCGGCAGAGCTATTTAGACAAACTGAAAGTTACACATACACAGAGATATAGTGTGTATAGAGACTATATATTGTTCGTTAGTAAATTTAGCTCAAAAATAGAAGTTTTTAAGCATAAAAGGAAAGGAGATCTCTCTTTCAAAAGGAAATATAGGACTGATTAATCTATCTAGGTTGTGAACCAGATTTTAGGAGGTGTTTGCCACCAACAGGACACAAGACTTGATAACTTTCTTTGAGCCTAAATTCCACACAGCTCTTTAGTGTTCATTATAAACAGAATGGCCACTGGACTTTCTGGTTCTAAGTTACCAGAACATTATTATAACATTAATGAAATAAAACTTTTAGAAAAGGAAAATACTGATATACAACCTTGCCAAAAATTGTCCTATAAGCCACCAATAATAAAGATGAACTAATATGAAATGGTAAAAAGTTCCAAAGGGGAGACTATTCTACTCTTTGACTATATTATCAGTTCTGGGAGCATTCAAAATTTCTGGGTCCATGCACACCATGCAGACATATTCCAGCTCTGTACCAGGAGATACATGATCACAAACCAGGCTCCTTTTTCCTTTTGCTGTCTAGTCTCCTCAGCAATAGAGCTCTGTCATAAAACACATATAAGAACTTTTTCATGATGAAAAATAAGGTCCCCAGAATATACTTACTCCAGCAAGTAAATCTAGATAAACCTAGCTAGAGGCAGCAACTTTCATTTTATTTATAAAGATTTTGGGGGTTTAATTCTTATCTTCTATTTCTTTCTTCCTTTCACTTCCCATCTCTCCATTTCAAGCACTTCATATGTATTTCAGACATTAGTATCTACATCTCCTATCTCCATCTGAATCAGAAAGGAAATCTTTCTCTCCCTGACAGCAATAGTATTTTGTTTGTTTGTTTGGGGATTTCTTTGTTTGTTTGTTAATTAACTTAAATGACACTAAGAGTTTACTATGGATTAACTTTGAACATGCAGTCCTGCTGCATTGAGTGACAAGCTAAAAGCCAAAATACTCTCTTAGGCATTCTTAAAACAATTGCCTATTCTTGGATCAAACCAGTGGAAACTCAAATATACTTAAATGTAACGTGTAAGTATGTATACACATGTTTCAGCCATAGGAGAAAATTTACTCATTTCCAAATCAGATTTTTTTTTCCCACGAAGCTTTGAATCTTCACAGATCTGCTATCCTTAACCAGATCATTTCCATTTCCATTCCATTGTGTTCTGCAACATCCTAATTAAAAAATCTCTCTCCTGTCCTCATACACTTCTTTTCATCTTTTTCATTTAATAATCTGTCTAAGGATATTAATGTTTATTTGGTGGGATAAAGTCCAGGTCCTGTAATGATTGCCTTAGAAAGACATGTTTTGTTAAATTCTCATATAGATGGCTATGAAGAAAAAGAAAAATCCAATGGAACACTGTCAGACAATTCACAAACTTGGATTCAAGGTATTCTTTCGGTATAACCTTGGTCAAGTCTCAAAACTGTCCTGCAATTCATTTCCATATCTTCAAAAAAAGGCCAACTCCACAGCCTTCCTACTCCACAGAGGTGGTATGCAAAAAGTATGCAAAAGACTAGGTAGAGTGTGATAGAGTGATTAGATAAAGTGTGAAAATATATCCTAGAGAGAGAGTGATGTTCATTTAAGAAC